GGGGGAACAGGGGGACTCAACAAGCTCAGACGCTTTTCCCATCTCAACAATGCCGTGATTTCATCCTCTGCAGGGGGTCCCCGGAGCACACCTGGCCTGGCCTTGATGCAGAAGGGGAGGATGACAGCCCCACCTGGTTCAGGTGATGCTCTGTCCAGGGAAGGTGCTCTGAGAGCAGAAACAGCAGCTCTTGAGCACCCGTGCTGCTGCTCCACATCCTGCTCTCTTGACCCTGGACATGTGGTGTTCACCACGGAGCTATTATGGGCTGTCACATTGTGTTCTGCAGCCCAGGGCTCTTCTTCCTGGGAGAAAACATTGACAGGTTAAATATATCCCGAGGTTGTGTGGGTGAGGAGATGAACACAAACCCACAGAGTGGAGCAGATCTGAGGGGGGGTGTCCCAGTTTTGCTCCCTGGGATGGCAGGGCCTGGCCATGGCTCTGGTGACGGAGGCAGCAGGGACCCCCTGAGCCCATGTCTGGTGTGAACCGGCCCCAAACCTGCTAGAGAAGCAGAAGAAAAGCAAAGAACCCTGTGAGGTTGGTGTGGAGCTGAGCTCTGCTGCTCTCTGATCTCTTGGGGGGCGGTTTAGTGTTCTGGTTTGAGGGTGAAAGGGGGAAGGACAAAGCCCAACGCTGAGGACAGGGGTGGAGTCCCAAAGCAGGCTTTTGGGGGAGCCACAGCTGCCCTTTCCTGCTGGAATCTGCTCTGACACCATTCCTATAGAAACCAAACAATTCCCAACCCCCTCAGCTCAGAGCTCTGCTCAGCCAGGTCCCCGTGTCTGTGGGGTCCTCCCTGCAGCACTCCTGGGGTTGGAGATGGAGGGGGTGTGTCTGTGAGATACAGAGCTCCAAACTCTCGGTGTCAGCAGGACCCTGGAGGTCACATGGGGGGCTGATGTGACCCAGACCCCAGCTGGGGCAGTTTCCATGGTGGGGGCTCAGCTCTGGTGGGCCCTGCCTGCTCCAGTCCAGACCAGTGCCAGGGTTCTGTGCTTAGGTGCACCAAGGAGTGGGGGGACAGTCCCCCCCTGCCCGCTGCAGGCACTGGGAAGAAAAGGGTCTGTGGGTAAACAAAACTGATTTCAAAAGCCCTGGGAACAATGGTGCAGCAGCTGGGAAAGCAGCAGGTGAGGGGCTCAGGGCAGGGAGCAGGGCCGTGCTGAGCTGTGCCAAGCTGTGCCATCCTGGCTGTCATTCTGTCCCTGTCAGTCTTGTCACTGCCATCCCTGGGGGGATGAGCAGCTCAGGGGATGGGGCAGTGAATCATGGAAGGGTTGGAGTTGGGAGGGACCTTAAAGCTCATCCAGTCCCACCCCCTGCCACAGGCAGGGAAACCTTCTACTAGACCAAGCCCTTGCTCCAAGCACTGTCCAAGCTGGCCTTGGACACTTCAGATCCATCTCCCTAAAGCTCTGCTGAAGCCAGGCCAAAACGCCCCTTGCTCTGAGGGGACAGTGAGGTCTTGGTGAGGGGCTGCCTCAGCATGTGCCATGGACACCCCTCATGCCCTGGAGGACAGATGGGGCTTGTGTCCCACTCTGTGCCAGGCTGCAGTACATCCTTGCCCTCTCTGTCCTGGTCCTCCTCCACAACATCTGGCTGGACCCTCCTGGTGCCCCCCACACCAGCTGCCCAGTGCCTGTGGGGTCTGACCCTGCTACCTCCCCTGGCCCCTGGGTGATGTCACCACAGTCCCTGGGCGATGTCACCACAGTCCCTGGGCGGTGCCACCAGGAGCCCTGTGGAGCTGCTGGGCTGCAGGACCATTTCTTGCCTCACAGGGACCTCTAGAGTCGCCCTCCTAAAGTCTCAGCCTTTCTCCAGTCACACACAAGTGGTGCTGCCCGGGTCTCACCTCTGCTGTGCTGGCTGGAGCTCCCCAAGGAGCTCTCTGGGCTCCTCTTTCTCATGCCAGCCCCAGAGAGGCCCCGTGAGTGCCCCAGCTCTGGGGACAGCAGGGGCAACCCCCGTGTCCTGCTCCTCGCAGTGACACCCTCTGTTTCTGGGACTCGGTCCCTGCTCCCGGGCTCTGCTCAACCCAAGCTGCTCCGCCCTCTCCTGCTGCCTCCTTACCCCGGGAGCATTCCCTGTCTCTGGGGGAGCATTCCCTGTCTCTGGGGAGGCATTCCCTGTCTCTGGGGGAGCATTCCCTGTCTCTGGGGGAGGCATTCCCTGTCTCTGGGGGAGCATTCCCTGTCTCTGGGGAGGCATTCCCTGTCTCTGGGGAGGCATTCCCTGTCTCTGGGGGAGGCATTCCCTGTCTCTGGGGGAGCAGGGAGATGAGTCCCAGTGGGAAGGGCCCCGGAGGGATGGGGGTGGAGGGGCCGGGGCTGGGATCAGTGCTGCTGGGTGGGGCAGGGCACTGCTCAGAATTGTCTTTTCTGACAGTATTTTCTGGACTGTGATCTTAGAGATCACAGAATCGTGGAATCCCAGATTGGTTTGGGTTGGAAGAGACCTTAAAGCTCATCCAGCCCCACCCCTGCCATGGGCAGGGACACCTTCCACCAGCCCAGGGTGCTCCAAGCCCCGTCCAACCTGGCCTGGGACACTTCCAGGGATCCAGGGGCAGCCACAGCTTCTCTGCCCAACCTGTGCCAGGGCCTACCCACCCTCCCAGGGAAGAATTTCTTGCAAATCATGATTTTGTAGATTATTGATTTGATCAATGGTCTTCACATCACACTCTTGGCTGTATCTCATTGCCCACGGGCAGGGGTCGGGTGGCAGAGAATCCCCTCCCACGTGGCAGCACCGGGGGGTTGTTTTGGGAGGTTTCAGCAGTGGAACGAGGCAATTTTCCCCCCCGTCGCAGACAAAAGACTACCAAACCTCCGCGATGCTCCTGCTCCCGGGAGGGCTCGCGCTGTGCCCCCTCAGGTCCTCGCCCGGGGGGAGAGGGAAAAATCACTTGCAATGCAAATTGTGGAAAAGCAGGAAATGCCTCACCCGGCAGTGTTAACTGCTGTTAATGGTTAATGCACGGCAATTTAAACGTCCCCGGGTGCAGGGGCTGATGCTCCCGCCGAGACCTGGGAGAGGGAAGGGGCCGACATCGCCAGCCCTGGCAGCCCAGGGGGATTTGGGCTCCCCCGAGCTCGGCACCGCCCGGGGCTGTGGTTCCTCTTCTCGGTTTGGGGCTGGTCCTCGGTGAGTCATTTTCTATCAAACGCTGGGATCTGTTTGAAGAGACTGAAGGAAAGGACAGCGGCGTGTGAGAGGAATAGATTTCCATAAACTGGGAAGCAGAGGTGAAGGGGCTTTGCAGCCCACACAGAATCTCACCGGCTGGCACTGGAGCCTGGGAACGTTCCCAGGCGGATTTATTCCCCAGCTCTAGACCCAGCCTGGCTCGATTCACCTGGGTGACGTGGGTTTGCAAGTGGAAGAAGCGACTGGATAAATATTTGCGTTGAGCTGAAGGTCTTTTCTGTACTAAGCAATGTTTTCAGTGGGCTTTGGGTTCAGGGAGGCTGAGAATCCTTAATGGAAGTGCTTAGAAATGCAAACACGCCTGACTCGACTATCTGCCGTTTGCAATGAAAGTAAATCAGGCTGCAAACAGGGAAGGTTTAGCTTTGGTCCGAATCCAACTGGTTTTCCTCCATCCCAAGCCTGGCCTGGGGTTTTTCTACCGTATGATGGAGCTTACATGGGGGCTGGGAGGCTAAAATGGGGGAAAGCATGTAAACCCAGCATGTAAACCCATCAGTTCTGTGGTGTTCCTTCTCCTCAAAGCCGTTCTCACGGCAAAGCCTCCGGGGAGGACCCGCAGCTTGGCTTGTTTGCATTATTCAAACGTGCAGAAATACCCGCAGGCTGAGCAGTTATGAGAGGGTGCTCCCAGCTCAGGGATGGTGCTCCCAGCTCAGGGATGGTGCTCCCAGCTCAGGGATGGTGCTCCCAGCTCAGGGATGGTGCTCCCAGCTCAGGGATGGTGCTACCAGCTCAGGGATGGTGCTCCCAGCTCAGGGATGGTGCTACCAGCTCAGGGATGGTGCTCCCAGCTCAGGGATGGTGCTCCCAGCTCAGGGATGGTGCTCCCAGCTCAGGGATGGTGCTCCCAGCTCCAAACATCCAGCTCTGGGACAGTGCTCCCAGCACTTCAGGAACTCTGAGACTGAGCTCAGGGGCTGGGACGGTGCCACGGGCTGACATCAGTGCAGAACTGTACACTCAATGTGTCTCTCTGGGGGATTTCTGCTTTGGGCCAGCGTTTCTTTGTCCAAGGATCACTCTGTGCAGCCCACCGTGCCTTTGCCCCTCTTTATGAAGGAGTGGAAAAGGAAGGAAGGAAAAGGAAGGAAAAGAAAGGGCTGGAGCCCCTCTGCTCTGGAGCTAGGATGGGAGAGCTGGGGGTGTTCAGCCTGGAGAAGGGAAGGCTCCAGGGAAACTTTAGAGCCTCTTCCAGTGCCTAAAGGGTCTCCAAGAGAGAAGTGTCAGGGATGGCCACAGCCCTCAGAGGTGCAGTTGGGTGTGGGTCACATTGCAGACACTTCCCAGTGTTGGTACTGGGGCAGGATTCGTTCCTGAATTTGTGGTTTGTACAAGGAGCTCTTGGAGATGTGTCAGTCAGTGATCTGAGCGAGGTGAGGAGTTGTGTCATTTCACCTCCCTGGAGGTCCCCCCACAGACTCTGTGTGCTCACAGGTGCAGCCACTGATCGTGACAAGGCTGACAGTGACTTCTGCAATCTTTGTGGGACAGTGGATAAAGCTGATCTGCGAAAGGGCCTGACCTGGTTTGTGGTGGCAGTGGAGGCACAGAGAAGATGTTTTCCTTACAGACACAGTCTGTAGTGTTGATAGAACAAACAGGGTGCTTTGTACAGCAAAATGCAGAGAGGGAACCCCTCAGGGTGGAAGGCAGGTGCCTTGTGCCCTGATTTCTAACATCTGCAGGGGTTTGTGGGCAAATCCAGGCGGCAGGCACCATTTATCTCGCCTCTTCCCTGCACAGAGCCACGCCAGGACACCGAGGACCGGAGTGCCATGTACGAGCTCAACGAAAGCAGCTTCGACCCCATCACCTTCGTCCTGACAGGCATCCCGGGCATGGAGGAGTGCCACGTCTGGATCTCCGTGCCCTTCTGCCTGATGTACCTCACCGCAGTGTTCAGCAACTCGGTCCTTCTCTTCGTCATCAGCACAGACCGGAGCCTCCACGAGCCCATGCACCTCTTCCTCGCCATGCTGGCCGTCTCTGACCTCATGCTGTCCACCACCACGGTGCCCAAAATGCTGGCCATCTTCTGGTTCAGCGCCAGAGAGATTTCCTTTGACGCCTGCATCACGCAGATGTTCTTCACCCATTTCAGCTTCATCGTGGAATCCTCCGTGCTGCTGGCCATGGCCTTCGACCGCTACGTGGCCGTGTGTGACCCGCTGCGCTACCCGTCCGTCCTGACGCCCTCGGTGATCGGGAAAATCGCCGTGGCCGCCGTCCTCCGGGGCTTCTGCATC